TGTTCATGTTTACTTCAGGCAGACAAAAGTTTACGCTTGTTAGCCTTCTTACAAAACACTCTGAGGTCAGCGGCGGATCGAATTAACAAGTCTAATTTTCGTGGCAGGTGTGGGACGGTCAATTATCACCCTCTTTTAAATTTATAATAATAAAAAGCTTTCCGGGGTGACAAATGACCGCCCACACCTTCCCTTGTGTCATGGTGTAGGATTCTAGGGGGATAGGGTTGTCATGAGTTTCAACATCAAGAAGCGCAACTTTCTTCTGGCCAGTGTAGTAGTGGGCTTGTCATATGAATCCTTCGCGTAAGCAAAGCTCTGATGCGCGTAAGGTTGCGTAAGCTTTTTTTTGTGAGATGAAACTTGCGTAAGCAAGTCGAAATTTAACATACATGTCACATGTATTCTTGAAATGTTTGGAAATTCTATGGAAACCTGTGTTGATGAGGCCTTGCATTGGATCTTTGTCTTGGCAATTGGTATGGTCGAAGGTGATTGGCTCCACAGAAAGAAGGGTTCTTGGGGTTCCTGTAGTCATGTTGCCACACTAGCTGAAGGATTTTTATTCATACAGGACATAGGCATCAGGACAGAGATTTTATGGGTCGACACATGCAAACATTACTCCTATAGCCATACAAACAACTCCCATAGCCATAAAGTCTACCAGCGGTTGTCAGACACACCATGTCACCATGCAGTTATCGGTTTTGGTGTCGGTAATCCGCGTAAGCTGCGCGTAAGCCCCCCCTCTCTTTTGTGGACGCCCACAATGCCTCCTAAAAAGCAGGCTTTTTCTGACTTGCAATGGTGCCAAAGGCAACGCATTGTCCAAACCATCTACGAAATCCTGGCTGCTCACTGCCCCACAGCCGCAGACGTAACAAACCTGTTGTGTATTGTGCTTTGCTTGGAAAACAAATAGCGCGTAAGCTGGCACTGTGGCCGGGTGCAAGATCGTGTTCGCGTAAGTGTTGCGTAAGCCCCTTTGTGTGCAAAGTGTGCGCGTAAGCTGCCATTGTGGTGGCGTAAGCCAGGCGTAAGCTGCTGCGTAAGGAAAGTCTTACGCCATAGGCAGATGCCACACGTTTTGAGCACAGCTCACATGATCAGTATTCTTGTTACTGTACTCCTACTAATCATGTATACAGTGTTTATTCCCCAATAGCCATGCTATGGGGTCTTGCAAAACTAATAGGCGGACGGGCGCCGTCGGGTCACCGTCAGAGCTGGTGGGCGGATGGTGTCCCGGTCATGTTTTGATGGCGTCCGGGTCATGTGGTGTCCCGGTCATGTTTTGATGGTGTCCCGATCATGTTTTGATTGTGACCCAATCATGTTGTGATGGTGTCCCAGTCCTGTTTTGATGGTGTCCCAGTCATGTTTTGATGGTGTCCCGGTC